TTAGATTTGCAGTGCATCAGCCGGGACATGAATTGTTGCCTATATGGAATTCTGGGCAACACAGGCAACTGTTTTATCTGTCATGCTGTCACACTGCCCCCGCCTCCCACCATCATCCTTTAACTAAACCGCTGTTCTGCAGTTAGAGTTTCTCCACTTTTCTGTCAGTTCCTGCTCTTGTCAAATTCTAAGATGTATGTTGACTACACCACATCATTTGTTCATTTATTTTTTTAATAGGGATTGCATGTGGCAACAGTTATACCAAATACCTCTTATACATAGCGGTCTACCCTCTAGAATAGGTTTATCTTCTAGGGAGGGGAGTAGATATGAGTGAATAAATATATAAATGTCTGAATATGCAGAAAAGAAACAGTTCTAAAAAGAAAACCTAGAGGGACTTCTTTAGGTGGAAAAATCAGGTGAATATCTTGAGGAAGTAACACTGAAGCTGTAGAAGTCAGGTAAAGAGTGAGTGTTGGAGATGGGATAGGAAAAACATTCCGAGCGTGGTGAGGGGCAGAGCTTGATATTGCAAGGAACAGAAAAGAACCAGCATGGCTAGAACACACGTAGGGTAAAGTGAGTGAAGGCATTAAATGTTTGGAGAAAAACATGTAGGGGTTGGCTTTTATTAAAAAATGCAAAGACAAAGAATGATGACTCTTGCACAAGACATTCATCACCATCTGGTTTGTATTGGTGAAAAATCAGTTTGATTGCTCCTTGGAGCAAACTTTGAGGGGAAAGATCAGTAAGCAGACTGCTTTCACAGTGGTGGTGGGCCGATCCCAAGGGCTCCCACTGGAAACGGAGCACAGCTTTGATAGATGGTGTGGATGGAATTAATGGGATCTGCTAATGATTGCGTGTGTTTACAATAGAAGAAATATAAAAAAGACTTAGATGTCTCGCACAAGCCATTGTGTTAATGTTGTTACATTCACACATATGAGTAAGATGTGAATTTGCAGCAGGCTTAAGAAAGGGAGGGGTCGAGATTTCCACATTCTCTTGAATTGGTTGTGAAGCAATCTGGTGGACGTGCTAATAATGGGATACGATATGTGAATTTCTAAATCTGAAATATCTATTTGGCTGTAGATAAAAATGTGTGTCATCAGCATGAAGATGTTTACTCCCAGACATGGGACCAGGTCTGAGCTTTTTAATTGTCTTAGATGTACTGGCAAATCAGGCTGAGAAAGAGGACCCACCATGGTAACTGCTGAGGAAGTCAAGGCGAGTGATGGCAGAGCAGGAGAGAGCGATGTTTTGGGTGCTGACAAAAGATCAAGGCTGGAGAAGGAAAGACTCTGTGCTTAGTGTTGTGAAGAAGAGACTGAGATCAGAGAAATAAGTGAGGGAAACAAGCATATTCTTGCAAGGAACATTGAAGACTAAGTTTGTAATACTTCTCCAAGAGCTTTCCAGTCTCTCTCAGCATCACGCTGTGTCCTGCAGAAGTGAAACTGTACAAGTGGCAAAGCGTGCCTATCATTTCTCAGACTCGCTTTTGCTCCTTACCGGACACATTTCACTTTGCATTCCCGAAAACCACTTACGTCCTGAGATACATTTTCCTTTCTGCCCAGGGTACTCTTTCCTTCTCTGCATGCATAATTGACTTTTATTATTTCAGGCCTTGGTTCAACTTATTTCAAAGTTTCCATTTCACAATCAGATGAAATCTCTGATTACATTCTTAAATAATAGTTGAGGGACTTCTTTTGTGCTGAACTTGTCCTGATTATTAATTAATCATTGTGTCTTCTACTAGGGCAAGGAGAATGTATGTTTTGTCATCATTTCCCCCCCCCCCTCCTTACATTGGATGAAATAATTCTTATATTGAAAATTTACTCTCTATATCTTTTGGACAAATGGATGAATCAAAGACATCTGCTTTTGCAGTTAATCTCCTATAATCTGTTTCTATTTTTCTATAGCTTTTGCATAACTGAAATATCTGTAAAATAGCTTGATTAATTTAAATCACATCTTGTTCAAACTTATGGTTATAGCTTTAAACATTCTATTAGCAAGTTCTGGATCAGCCTTTAAGCTTATTTTGAGTATATGCTCTCTTCATCTGCTCAGGAAGTACTGCCACATTTACGACATATGGTATCTGCTGTCATTTCCTGACCTTGGCTACCCTATTTGTTTTTTTTTTTTTTAGCTGAATACTGCTCCCTTGCCGATACTGAAAGTGTATCATATCGGCAGGTCCTCTGTGAGGCTTTTGTGCTGCTAATGCCAAGCTCCCAGAAGCCAGGCTCACATCTGACAAAGTAGAGATACCTCAGAGGCTCTGTGGGACAGACACCTGCCTGGGTATCCATTTCAGCATCACTGGCTTACAGGAGCTGTGTTCTGCATCCTGAGGCTGCAATAGCTTTTCCTATCTGCCCTCAGGCAAAACAGACTTGTGTGGTTCCATGGCCTCTTTTCTGGGGCCATATATATTCACTTGCAATTGTCACGCTGTATGAGACTCCACTTAGCTATGCTTTTATAGCATACAACATAGATTCTGTTACCCAAAAGTTAATTTTCTCTTAACACTAACCTCAATTTTAACACATTAGGATAAAATGTATTTTTCGACCTTATGCAGATGGTCCTGTGCTCACCTACAAAGAATGGACTGGAAGTTCATAATTGTGCAGTATTTTTTCAGTGTTTTACTTTGAAAAGCACCATTTAAATAACTCTTTCAACTTGTCACATTCAACTTTTTCTAAAATGTATTTTACCCGCTTTTTGACCTTTTGAAGACTATAAGTCATATACTTTTTTCCTAACTTCTAGTTTTAGCATATTCAACAGTCAACAAATCTACACATCTTGTTAAAGACATTCAAAGCTAACACCAAAGAATTTTCCCTTGTAAATGTATTTTTTTTTTAATTAAGGAGCAGAGTGCTCCAAACCGTGAACGGTGATACTTATTTTCCATAGGATCTAACCAAATAAAAGGCTGTGCGTGCTTTCAAAGCTATCTTGTTTAAAAATGCATTTGTAGGGGCTTTTAACCAACAGGGACTTTACTTTGTTAGCTCTACCTTCAGACCAGAGAAGGTCTCCCCTAGAAACCGCTGAACTTATCTGGATAATAAGATGCTGGACTCTATGCTAGGTATATGCTTGCAATGAATGAATCCCAATTGAACTTCAACTGTGAATATGTAGCAAGGTGGAGGAATCCACCATGGGGGTAGGGTTGTGGGAGGGGTAGGGGGAATCCCAGTGCCTACAAAACTGTATCACATAATACAATGTGATTAACAATAAAAAAATTTTAAAAAATGCATTTGTAGAAATACTCATGTTTACTTATTAGACTACTTTTCAAGATATTTAAAATAAAGATAAAAATAAATAACCAAAAATGTTTGGGAAATGGATGATTAACTTCAGAATAATAAGGCAATAAGATGAAACGTGAGTACTAAAGCTGAATCCTCACTGTTCTAACCTCGAGCAACCACACAGGTTAGAATGGACAATCGCAATATTGTCTAGCTCAAGGACATATTATGAATTAGATAAGCCTTGTAAGGCAATAAGCAGAGTTCCTACATATTCAAAGAACCCCATTAGGTAGTTATGATCATCATAATAAAACAAGTTATAATTATCTTATTAAATTTATTAGTAAGAATTTAAGCTGTGAAGTTACTTTCTTTTGTATACCAGAGGATATGAGCTTGACTTTGGGATTTCAGTCAGTAAGTCAGTGAAGTTGGTAAATATCAACTTATTTAATTGCACAAAGGAACCATAAAATAATGTTTCCTAACGGCAGATTGCAGTCACTGCAGAGAGCCTGTCTACATAGCCACCAGGAATTAACTACAGCTCAAAGTGATAGTGAAAATGTATTTTCATTTTTAAGAGCAAATAAATATTATGATAATGCTATCAACTCATTTAGTTGTACTGCTGAATTTGTAGTGTATTTACAACATGGAATATGAATGTTGATGAGTTAATATTATTGATCATTAACCGACAGTAATAATTCAATTAATATTCATATTTACTATTTATTGAAAAACATTGGGACCATGTTGCTGAGAGAGAAGTAGTTAATTTTTGTAAAACATAACTCTTCGATTCCATTGCTCATCTCCACAGCTACAGCCACAGCTACAGTCACAGCTACAGCCACAGCTACAGCCACAGCAGCTGGCGTTTTCAAGCAGGGTTTGCTGTGGTAGAAACGACGTTTCAGCTCCATCTCTTGCCTCATAAGGATAACTGAAGGATCTGGGGCAATCTGATTGGCCTCGGAGAATGATTTTGCACAGGAAATGGGTTTTTCTGCTAAAACTGTCATCACTGGATTGTGGGTGCCCTCACGGCAAATGGTACCAGTTGCCAAAAATACCATGACATTTTATTCATTCATTTGATGATCTTAACTAATGAAATGAATGCTAACTTGGTTTCTCTGACATCTCAACATCCCCCATTTTGTTACACCCACATTGAATCTGTTTAATTACCTCTTAGGTAAGTAAATTATTGACTATATTGTGGTAGATTCGACATTTTTCAAAGCTGTCTTGGAACTTGTAGAGGAATATGTTTTGGACTGTTAGAAAATCCTCTTCCTTAAGGGGAAAATGCTTTTTTAAAAACCTACTAACAGCGTAGGTGCTTGAATTAAGGAAGTAAAATGTCATTGCACTGACTTTGAACGACTCTTTTGACTTCCTGCAAAGAGAACTCTTTACAGTATTTTTGGAGAAGTTAGTAAAACCGAATCTGACATCACCACGTAGCAGCTCTTGTAGCTAGCTCACAAGTGGTTTGTTCTTAGGGTAGCAGAGGCGGAAATCGCTCCTGTCTGATAAGACAACGGGGAAGAGTATGCATTCGTTTCTTTTATTTTGGATTTGATTTTACAAAGAAAGCCTTGGGGAGAGATAACCACTATTTTGCCTTTCAGAAGGACGCATGCTGTTTCTGACGCATCCAGTTGATTCCAAGATTTGACCATGGACTTGTGGCTTAAACTTTTGGCCTTGGGCTTCGTTTTTCTGGACACAGAGGTGTTTGTTGCCGGTGAGTCTAATTAATCACTCTTTACTTTTTATTTTGTTTTGTTTTGGAGGAACGTTGGTTTGGAAGAGTCATTACAAAAAAAAAATGGGGTTACGTGAGTGGAGGATAAGCCCACCATAAAATGGTGCTGGTTCCTGTGGTTTAGACAAACATGGCTTGCTTGTGACAAAAGATATTGCTCCTCTGTGAAGGTGCAAATATTGCAGAAAAAATCTGAATTTAAAATTAAAACATTGTCTACTGAGATCTTTGTTCACAAATTGTTCAAGGCTATTGTACAATCAACCTATTTATTAATCCCTGAAGTGACATGGATGTGCTTATGGAGTCTGAGGAATTTTAAAATGAAAAAACATGTAAGTTTTTAACAAAGAAACGCACTTTTGGAAAGTCATGAGCAGGCTCTGGCTGCATCTAAACTTCTCCGTATTTTGAAACCCAGGGTTTGCTTCCTCAAATTTCGATTATTACTGAAATACACTATTAAAGATTTAAGTAGATGATAGTTAAAAAGCAATCAGATATTTAACAATATACTGTAGTTCTGTGTATTCATATCACAGAATATGCTGTAAATCAAGTTTTTCATTCACTGATACTAGTTTCTATGAATTTTTGCTTTGGAAATGTTTCTGGGGTTTGGGGCCGCCGCCCTGCTTGGGTGGCGGGTAGAATTATAACTTTGGACAGAAATAGTTAAGTTGTGAAAATCATGCAAATGCATGTCCTATAGGAAAATGTAGCTAATTGGACTTTGGGCTGCTACTTAAGTTTGGCCCCTTTGCATAAACAGAATCTACTCAATGGACATTCCACAAACAATTTTAACTTGGGTCATAGCACATTCTGGTGATTGTTATATATAACCAGTAAGTGGTTGCTTAATATTTCTCCTTATGGTAAAGCATAAATAAAGATTTTTTTTTTAATTTAAGTAACATTGAATTGTAGCTATTGCAGAAATTTCAGAGAGATTAAAAGGGGAATTTTTTTTTTAATTTCTCACTGGATTTTACTTTGAAATCTTTCAGTTTTCACTCCTTAATAGTCTCCTTTCACTTGAAAGAAGTACGTTAGATTGTTAATAATTAATTAGTTAATTAACTTTTCAGCAACCAGAGTGCAAAGAAAAACATTGTCAGGTAGAATTTTTGTTGGGGTGGTTCTGTAGCATATTCAAAAGATGGATTTAGAACTCTGTGGAGATAAAGATGTCTTAGTAAAAAATGTGTGCTAAGTTTTCATCTCATCAATTTTTTTTTTACCTTAAACAAAAACAAATTTTAAACAAATCTAGTTTGAGTAAGGTGGTATACCTGTTTTACAATAAATAAAAGCATATGCCCATCAAATATTCTCACTCAAGGAATGTTACAAATTGTTTATAAGCGAACACATGCAAAAAACCCACTAAATTATTTTTAGAACACAGAGAAAGTCACCATAAAACTTCCATTCAGCTTATTAAAGAATGTTACTGTGAGAAATATATTTAAATTCATAATCAAATCAAGAGCATAGTGGAATCAGGAAACCTGTGAATTAATTCTAATGAATAAGAAATGGGTTAATGTACATGGTCTTATTTTGAAATATCACACTTGTTTTCAATTGCTCACATAAATATCAAGGGAAATGCTTTTTCTAAAAGGCATTGATAGCCTTGTTGATATATAAGTTACAAGAATTATTCTTTGATTTAGGATATATGCTGAGAAGTTATTCACACTTAATATATTTTCTTTGTTGGCAAAAAAGTAATTTGGATTGCATATTTTATTTTAATGTGTTAAATTAGCTTGTAACTACAGGAAGTTTGTAACTATATTTGAGCAGCGAAGCTTACATCCAAGAACTGGACATAGATTCTATAAGCAGAAAGAGATTGAGCTGAATGCAAACCAATATCCGTAAAAGACAGATGCTTTAGGAGTTTTGTTTCCTCTCTAAACTGCAAATGCAGAATAGACCAAGGTTAAGCTTTGCTAGGGTACCACGGTTTCTGGGTTCAGTTTTCCACTAAAGTTCCTACTTTCCATGCTCTGCATCTCTTCTCTATGACAAACAGAAACTTTGTTGAAAATTTATCCAATGTTCTCTTGAATGATGATGGTTTTGAGACCATAAAGAAGGAACGATATTGTTTGGCTCATGATAAAAATGTAACACAGGTAAATTCATTATTCCATTACATAATAGTTAAGGTATGTTGGTTTGAGGTGTAGCTTATATTGTGAATAAAGAACCATAACAGTTAAAACTCATTTCCTGGGCACAGTTTTTATTTTTCTATCTGCATCAAAAAAAAAATATCGTAAACATGTGCCATTCCTAGCCAAAGTGTTCAAAATACATTTTTAGTTGAATTTTTAAAACTTTGACTTACCTATAAGTCTATATTTTAGAGATGTTGTGAAATGATTTCTTATTAATGCTTTAAAATATTTTGCCTTGAGTATTTGATGCTAGAATTTGCAATGCCTTTTTGGTGAAGATAAGGTGGAGTCATTGGGCTGTGTCTTATTATCCTTTTTCGCTGTGTTTAATTAAGTACAGAGAGAGTAGTGAACTTGAGCCAGCTTCTTCACTGTGTTTGAACTCCATTTACCAGTGATAATTAACTCGCGTAGAACTACAGATATGCCTACACTGTTTGTATGCATATGAGACTCTACATACCAATAATGCATATAGTAGTCATACGTATGAGTCTGATATAATATTTGTTTTCTAGGTAGTCATCTGCCTATTAGTTTTTCATATTTGTCCATCTCTTAAATATTGGAATTCTATCAGCTTCCATTCTTGATCAGTCTTATTTTTGTTCTGCAGACTCTGGGTCCGTTAGCGTTGCTCACTCTGTGTTGATAATCCTGAGTTTTCCATCTCCTGAACCATTTCTCAGACACAGCAAACTTATTTGCATTTCTAAATTTGAGCAATGACATGCCCACCAAGTTCTGAAATTTGGCTTCATGATATTTTTAAAAATCTCTCTTTTTTTGCATCTTCAGTGCGACCACCTAATCCACTGCTTTCCTGTCTTTCACTTACTGCATTTCAGTGCTTTCCTAACTTTGGGGATGCATTCAACCGCTGAAAAGAATAAAATAAAAAAGGGGTGTCCTGGTATTTTCTCATTTCATTTCATAAAGATCACGCTATTCCTATAGCAACAGGTCCACCAAAAACTAGAGTCTAGGTCTAGAGCTGGTGTGGGATGTGTTTTTCTTTTTTCTTTGACTGACTGAAAGAGAACCAGTGGGAGGTGTCGCCAACACCCACTGCACTTCCGCAAGGCCTCTCAGGCACTGTCGAGTCCTCTCTCCCTTCTGACATCCTGTTCCGTCAGTCTTGTCACAAAACTACCCCCTGACATGGATCACTTTTTTCCATCTTCCCTCGTAATTTTGCAAGTATTATGTCAGGTGTTCTTGGGTGTTCTTGTGAGAATGACCTTGATGATGGTTTGTGAAACCGTGGATGTTTTGCTGTTGTAACTTAAATGAAGCTGGAAATGATGCCTTGTACCACCTGTGTCTGATTCTTTACCAGACCTGGAATAAATAATGTTAATCTCCAGTTTATCGCGATGAAAGAAGGGAGGTTGAGAAAAAAATCTGAGAGGGACGTCATAGAGAGGGAGAATAGGAAACAGAAACAAAATTAATCAGAGGCAGAGCAGGAGGGTGTAAGTGGTAGAACAACTTTGTCAAAATGAAGTTCATTTCAGGTGCCAGTGCTACAGTACAGTGTCTTAAGCTGCCTTTCAATGCCATCATCCCATAGCGTAACATAGACTGTTCTACTTACAATCCAGATCCCAGTTAATGTGCCTGTGAAAGCAGCAAAGATGACCAAGGCACTTGGACCTCATTAGCCACGTGGTAGACCAACCTGGAGTTCTGAGATTCTGCATTTGGCCAGAGGATGGAAGATTTCTCTTTCTCTCTGTCTCTCTCTCCTTTCTATGTAACTTAGCCTTTCCGATAAATATATCCTTTGTTCAAAAATGAGTTTGGGATCTATCTACATGTTTATAGACTTTGGTCCCCACTCCATTTTTGTTTTTGTTCTTTTCTATTTCTCTGTTTCATTTCCCGCCTCACCTTTTTCTGGGAAGATCTTGATTTCTCAAAAATCCATAGTTTGAGAATATCACTCTCCACTTAGCCTGACCTACTCTTGGGGTTTTGATGCTTATGTCAGTTGTGGGGCTGGCTTAGAGAAGTAAGGAATGGGGAAGGCAGCACGATAGCAGGAGTAACCAAGGGTGTCAGGGACCATCGGGGAGGTACTGAGGAGGACACTGGAACGAGTGTCGTGGCCATGTTGGTGTGTACAAACAGCAGAAGGTGGCTGGAAAACACTTCTAACGGCATTGAGTGATGACGAATGTCGGCGAGCAGAGTCAGGTTGATTCATACTGTGAGCACACACCATGGCTGACCACAAGGGTTCCCACTCAGATCATGTGTGTGGATGTCAAGGTGGGCAGAGAAAGACGCTTGTCATCAACATGGACTGTTGATGCTCTTTAGCATCTTACAAGCTTTAGAGGCTATTTACATAAGAGAAAATCAGAGCAGAAATTTAACGTGGTTTAACTGAAATTCAGTTTAGTCTGAATATATTTATCAGTACTAGAGACCCGCCTGGGTACAGAATTAACATCACGATTTTTGCATACATAAAGATAGCACTCTTCAGTGAATGATACATGAAAAGATAAAGTGATGAAGAGCATTTATTTTATCAATATAATATGATTTTGATGCCCATTTGTACATGAGATGCCAAAATGCAGAAATTGATATTATAATAACCTTTGAAATTTTGCGTGCATGTTCCTAATATTTAGGCAGAACAATAATCATTTACCTGAACTTATTCTTAAAGATTTATTTCATTTATTTGAAAGGTAAAATTCTCTCTGTATATAAATATATATATATTTACAGAAAGAGAGAGAGAAACAGAGAAGAAAAGAGTCCCTCCAT